CTATAATACAACTAGCATTCTTACATTTCTTTTTAGTTTATATAATAATACACTTTGTATGCTTAAACACTTTTTTTTTTGTACTGTAAAATTGAACTCAGAGTCTCATTACTGCTATTAGGCAGGCTCTATACCACTTAAAGACACTCCACCAACCCTGTTTTTTTTTTTTTTTTTGGTATTACTGGGATTTGCACTCAGGGCCTTGAACTAGCTACAGGCATTCTACCACTTGAGCCACGTCCCAGTCCTTTCTGGACAGCAGCTATGCTCACCCCTATACCACCAAGTCCTTTTTGTCTTAGTTATTTGTTGCTGTTGTTTCTGTTTCACTTTATTTTTCAAACAGGGTCTTGTGTTTATGCCCAGGGCCTGCCTGAACTGTGATTCTCCTACTTATACTTCCTGTTTACCTGGACAACAAGCATGCCACTGTGCCCAGCTTTTATTGGCTGAGATGGGGTCTCATGAACGTGTTACTGGGGCTGACCTCAAACCCCCATGTTCCTGATCTCTGCCTCCTGAGTAGCCACCGTGCCCAGCTTAAAGAAGTTTTTAATTTAGTTACGCTCATTTGACTTGAAAATCTATATAGAATTATGTAAAGTAGACAACCTACCTACTCAGCAACTTGCTGAGTAGCTTTCATTCTGTCTGATTTTAGCACTTACATTCATCAATTCATAATACAGTATATCTGCAACTATGCAGTCATATACAGACACAATTTCTTTTTTTTTTTTTTGGTGGTACTCTACCACTTGACCTAAAAGCCACTCCTCCAACTCTGTTTTGGGTTGAGTATTTGAGAGATGGTCTCTCAAACTATTTGCCTGGGTTGGCTTTGAACCTCGATCCTCCTGACCTCTGCTTTCTGAGTAGCTAAGATTACAGGTGTGAGCCATTGGCGCACGGCACAGATATATGACTTCTGAATAAGCAATTTATGAGGTGGAATACTTTGAAAAATTACTTAACTATTTTGTGCTTCCATTTTCTCATCTGTAAAATGGGGACAATAATATACTTTATAGAGCTCTTGAGAGGACACATGTAAAGCAACTGGAATAGTACCTATTAAAAAAACCCAGTAAATGTTAGAACTTTCTTTTTCTGGGTGGTACTGGGGTTTAAGCTCACAGCATCATGTTTGCTAGACAAGACACTCCACCACTTGAGCCAAGCCTCCAACCATTCTTGCTCGTTATTTTGGAGACAGGCTCCACTTTTTGCCCATGCTAGCTTGGACATGAATTCTCCTATTTTAAGCTTCCTGCCATCACTAGGAAAACAGGCATGTGTCACCACACCCAGCTCTTTTCTGTTGAAATGGGGTCTCACAAACTTTTTTTCCAGGATGGACTAGAACTGCAATCCTCCTGATCTCCACCTGCCAAGTAGCTAGGATTGCAAGAGTGAGCCACTGGCACCCAGAAATGTAAGATTTTTTTTTTTTTTCAGTTCTGAGGTTTGAACTCGGGGTCTCATGCTTGTCAGACAGGCACTCTACCACTTGAGCCACTCTCCCATCCCTAATGATAATTTTTTTTTTTTTTTTTTGCAGTACTGGGGTTTGAACTCAGCCTACACTTTGAGCCACTCCACCAGCCCCTTTTTGTGAAGGGTTTTTTTTCAAAATAGGGTCTCATGAACTATTTGCCTGGGCTGGCTTTGAACTGCGATCCTCCTGATTTCTGTTATGAGTAGCTAGAATTACAGGTGTGAACCACTGGTACTCAGCTAGAATTTTTTTTTTTTTTTGTGGGACTTGGGGTGGAACTCAGGGCTTTGCGCTTAAAAAGCAGGTACTCTACTGCTTAAGCCACACCTCTGGTACATTTTGTACTGGTTATTCTGGAGGTGGGGATCTCGCAAACTATTTGTCCAGGCTGGCTTTGAACCTCAATCCTCCCTAGCTACCCAAATAGCTAAGATTACAGGTGCCAGGTCCAATGTTATAATCTTTTAAAGCTAAATTCAATACTCATGAACAATATATAAACCTGTGCTATACATGAAACTAAATATATGAGCCCCAATATCACAAAGCAAACAATGGAAGGCTACGTTTAGAAATGAGATAAAAGGAATAAATGAATAGCCAGCATATCACCTTTCTCCAATTATGAGTAGCTGTGTTGTCTTTGTCAAATTTACAAATTGTCAGTCTACTTATGGATGAATATAGAATCAGGGATATCTATGAATCACACAATACTGATCTAAAGAGTAATGAATATATGCTATAAGAAAATCTGTTAGTAGCTGGACACTGCTGGCTCATGCCTGTAAACCTAGCTTACTAGGGAGGCAGAGATCATGAAGATCACAGTTCAAAGCCAGTTTGGGAAAAAAGCAACACCCTATCTCAAAAAACTACCCAACAAACTAAAAAAAAGGGCTAGCGAGTGGCTCAACTGGTACAGTGACTGCGTAACAAGTATGGCCTGACTTCAAACTCTAATATGACTAAAAAAAAGACAAGAAAATCTGTTAGTAAAGGTATTAGTCATACATACACATACAATAAGACTAAATATAGTATACATTGGTAAAAGGCCTAACAGCTAGCATAACAATAAATTTTATAGTGCTTTATAATACATGAAGCATATACTCTATTATTAAATGACCAAAGACACTGTGCATGAGTGAAGTGTGCTGCCTCCTGGTCCCTAAAAATCTCCTAAAGGAATTCTTACTCCTCATGCTCTGCCTACAAGAGTGAATCACTAACTGGGCCCAGAGCAGGCCCAGGTCTTGATCTTTCTCTCTCACTTCCAGTGGAATCATAATGTACAAAGAATTGCCTCCTTGACATACTAGGAAGCTTACAGCAAACATTCAGTGAGTATTAAAGTTCACAAACTACAAAGGACCTCAAGATTTTCTCCTATGTTCCATATAGCACCAAGGAAATTCTGGGCACTTGATAATGTCCTTGAGAATAAAAAGTCAATATTCACCAAATTACCCCTCTTTACTGCCAAAGAACAATGGGGCTTCAGCAATTTTCTTCTTTTAAAACAGAAATAGATACGGCATGACTGCAACATTAGCAAAATGTCAAGATCTCTCCAAAGTGCACTTGTTCAACATCAGCATGTGGGCTGGTTAGCATGGCTCTGTGCCTTGGCCAAAGACTTGCCCTAACCCACCCTTCCTCTCACCTTCAGCCATTTGAAAATGAGAGCCACAGATGACAAAATATGGTTCTACACTACTCCTTCACAACTAGGAAATGAACAAAAACAAATAGCCCTAAATGTATGTCTCTTCATCATAATTCAAAAGTATTCATCACTCAGCAAACTCCTTGCATTTACAAGCCAGGACCCTTATCTTACTTATCAAGCACTTAGCAAACTCCCTAACCTGGAAAACACTCGAAAAATGTGTTCTTCGGTGACAGAAGGGTCATGTACACTGTATGTCCCACACAGGAATGTCTTGATAATTATATTTCAATATATTTTTTCAGGCCTTATAGAAGATGAAAAACACATCACTAGTTTTTCCATTCCAGGCAATCTGTTAAAGGAAACCAACATTACTGGTAGACAGATTCCAAGCTATCAGAAAGGTAAATTAAAAATATACTTATGTGTTTTGGATACATTCTTTGAACCATTTGTCAGATACTTGTTCTGGCAAGATTTTTATGACTGGCCACATAACTTCTTGAGCTTAAAATGAATCATTATATTCTAGCTTCTTCCAATTAAATAATAAATGCATGATTTTTTTAGCTTTTATTAGCTATATACATCTTAAAGAAAATCTCAAAATAATAGTTTTTATGTTCTATCTCTTTGGGCATTGTAACTTACATCGCAATTTTTCTTTCTTAAAACAGTCCTATTGGTAAAAAAGACTGCCTTACATTACCTGGCCTGATTGTATTTTCTAGCAAAGGACTTCAGTTACACAAAATACACTAACTCTAGTCAATCTAACCACAGTGTCTCCTTAAAAAAAGAAAGAAAGAAAACAGTTTTAGGATGCACACTATGTGGGTGAGGAAGGAGAACAAGTTATTTCTGAAAAAACTTAGAGAAAATGGAATTCCAGTTTCTTTGTCCTATACTTCCTATTATGGGAGATCTGTGTCCATTTCTCAAAAGTGAAGTTATGCACAAAGGTCCATGCATGTAGATTACCAGAACCAAACTGGAACTTTAGAAAGATTACAAATCTCTCTCAAGCCAGAAATGCAGACTGAGGAGGGAACAATTACTGAAACAGTTCATATATTTTATTTCTACATATACAGAGTTTTTATGAGCATCATGACCAGCAAGGAGCAGGAGAAAGGAAAATAAAGCTAAAGGAATTTCTTTTTACTTTTTTTGATGGGACTGGGGTTTGAACTCAGGGATTTGCACTGGCAAAGCAAGCACTCTGCTGCCTAAGTCACACCTCCAGTCAATTTTGCTCTGGTTATGTTGGAGATGGGATCTTGGGAACTATTTGCCCAGGCTGACCTCAAACCTTGATCTTCCCTATCTCAACCTCATAAATAGCTTGGATTACAGGCGTGAGCCACCTGTGCCTGGATTGAAGGAATTTCTTCAACCTGACTAAAATACTACATTGTTTCCCATACCCATTGCCCTGGACTCCTGCTGCTCCCTGCATACACCCCATGCTCCTTCTACCTGACGTGTCCCGCACTCTGTTCAAAAGTGAGTAAAGAACGCTCATGACTACATAATTTGCTAGGAATCTGCAGAAGATCAGCACTTACCAAAATGGTCAGCTGGACATTGGCACAAACCTAACAGATATTCAAATTGCAAAACTCAGGAATAGAAACTTCTGCAGAGCCTTTCTATGCCAATACCACACATTTCAAGACAAAAATACAGCATGAAACCTTTAGTAAACTAAGTTGAACCAGATTCTGTCGAGAGTTTGGAAAATGCTTCAAAGAAGTGTTTAGGTGGGTTTTGGCGACAGTGTTACTGGGTACATTAGATTAACTTCTGTAAAGTCCTTACCTGATATGTGTTGCCGGTAGAGATTCATACTGACGTGACAAAAAGAGTTCCCTATGTTTCAACTGATGCTTCTGTTTATCAGTCAAATCGGCCTCAACTGTTGTTTCAGATTCTTCCTCAATTTCCTCTACGTGAAAGAAATTCAAATAATTTATTAATACAAAGCATACTGGCTATGTGGATATTAAAACAGAATTTAAAACACATGTCAAATTAACACTTCAATGTGTATTTTCTTCAAAGCAATACATTTGAAACTTGCACATTAAAGTTGTCATCTCCATTACAACCATAAAATTAAGTTCATTGGGACTCAAATGAAGAAGAAAAACTCCAATTTAAAAATGGCAACCAAGCCATTAGTACATGCCTGTAATCTCAGCACTTGAGAGGCTGAGACAGAAGGATCATGAGTTTGAGGACAGTCTGGACTACACAGTGAGAGTCTGGCTCAGAAAACAAAAACATCATCAACAACAAAAATAACAATCTATGAAAGTCAGCCTCCCAGTAATAAAAGCTTCATAAAGAAAAAAAAGAGAGGGAGGGGGTGGGGGCAGGGGGGAGAAATGAACCAAGCCTTGTATGCACATATGAATAATAAAAGAAAAAAAAGAGAAAAATGGGTATCTTTTACTCTTTTTAGGGAGAGAGGAGGAGGAAATTATTCAAGAAAATTTCCCCTTCCTAGCTGGGCGCCAGTGGCTCATGCCTATAATCCTAGCTACTTTGGGAGGCTGAGACTAGGGAGATCAAGGTTCAAGGCCAGCCCAGGCAAATAGTTTGCAAGACCCCATCTCCAAAATAACCAGGGCAATATGAACTTGAGGTGTGACTCAAGCAGTAGAGCACTGCTTTGTGAGTGGGAAGTCCTGAATTCAAACCCTAGTCCTACCAAAGAAAAAATTTTCCCCTCACAAACAAGATTAGTCTCCAGAATTCACCCCACATAGGTAGGGGCCTGGCTCAAGTGGTAGAGCTCTTGTGAAGCAGAGTTTCTCCCACAAACTTAATTTGTTTAAGACATTAAGAAGAGCCTAAGAATTTATGGAAAAGAAAAACAGATCACATGCAAGGAAACTGGAATCTGAGTGGAATCTACTTGTGAGTACCAACACTGTGCTACCAAATGGTAGCACAATACTATCCAAAAGGAAAATCATATTCAAGCTAGTAATCAATCAACTTATGAGAACAGAGTTATAACATCATTTCATTCATTCAACCAGCATTTATTAGGTGCATATTTGGAACTATTCAAGATGCTAGGGATACTTGAGGTCAACGAAATAGTTACTGAGAAACAATTTGAAGTATCTCCCATTGAGAAGCAGGGCTGGAAGGAAGAGATAGGAAAGACAAGAGTTATGTACTTTTTTTTTGGGGGGGGGGGCGCGCAGACTTTTTTGACACAGGATCTCAGTACACAGCCCCCATCCAGACTGGCCTCAAACTCACAATGCTGGGATTTTAAGCAAGTGACACCATGTCCAGCTACATTATTTTTAGCACTAAATTTAATAATCTCTTTAAAGAAAAATATCACCAGTATCATTTACAGACACAATTCTAATTCATTTAAGTGATAAAAATTTTTAAAATATACTATGTCTAGGGGCTCACTGGTACTTTGCAGCTTCCCCTGGAGTAGACTGTGTGGACTGTGAAGAGATGGGAACAGTGGAAATACGGAGAACTCAGAGAGCCAGTCTGCTCTTACAGCAGGAGCGAGTGTGTTGGCTCTTCACCACACAAGCATAACCCAAGATAAACATCTAAATAAGCCTAGCGTCCTTAAATCTGAGACACCAACAGGTGTCACACAATGATTGCTATACACAGAGCAACGTATTTGTTTTTCACACAATTATTATTTCAGGACCCGAGACAAAAGGGATTTGGGGAAATACAATCCCGAGTTGTAGCAGTTTTTATTTAATTGCATGAGGATAACCAATGGGCTGAGTCAGATCTTTCCCACTTTCAAACTCTCAACACTGTGATTTGAAAACAAACTTTAAAAACTGATTTACAAAAGATTCACCTAACTCAAAAAAAAAGGCAATTTTAGATTCTTTGAATGTTCTTTTTAATGAACCACTCAAAGAGAAATACAGAGCTAAAGGAGCCATTTACTTGCAGGTCTAATAACATTTCACCAGTGGAGATCAATAAAGTTATTGCTGCATTGGCATTATTAGCACCGTCAAATATCACATGCAAAATTATACTCTTCACTAATTAGAATTTGACAAATTGTTGTTCTGAAAGACACAGCTAACTGAATTCTACAGAGCCAAAACAGCATCAAGCACTATAAACAACAGCAAATCTTTTTACTTCTTTTCTTTTTTGTGGTGCTGAGAATTAAGCACAGGGCCTAGCCACCTAGGCAAGAGCTAAACTATTGAGTTATACTCCCAGTTTTATTTTCCTATATAACTCCATGGTACAGGCTGAAAAAGCACTAAAAGCTGTGAAGTCCAAACTAACCAAAGACAGAAATCATTGCAAAAGCATTGTTCAATATGAAGGTCACCAATGAAACCCATTTTTCAAATTGACTAGTTCAATTTCACTTACATATTTCTATAAATTTACTCTAGATTCTAAGCAGGAATGAAGGATTCCTATTCCACCAATATCCTAAAAACACTGAACAACGATGGCAAAAATTAGCATTTAGACAAGGAAAAACTAAAAAGACAGAAAATAACTATCACCATCAAAAATTGCAGGCTCACACCTGTAAATCCTAGCTCCTTGGGAGACAGAGATCAGGAGGACTGGGGTTCGAGGCTGGTCTGGGCACTAGTTTACGAGACCCACAACTAGTTCACAAGACCCTACCTCAAAAATACCCAACACAAAAAAGAACTGGGTGTGTCTCAAATGGTAGAGCACCTGTCTAGCAAGCATGAGACCCTGAGTCCAAATACTATTACCACCAAAAAAAAAATTATGTACATAAGAGGGTGGAAGAGTGGCTTAAGCAGTAGAGTACCTGCCTAGCAAGTATGAGGCCCTGAGTTCAAATTCCAGTACCACCAAAAAGAAAAAAAGTTATGTAATTTTTTACATATGTATGTAGCTCACTTACCTAGCACACATGAGGCACTGGGATTGTTGGGGAAAAAAATGATGTTATGAACATATTGTATCTCTATAATTTTTAAAACCATTTTACCAAGCTTGATTGAACACCAGATCTATTCTTACTAATGTTATTAAAGTAGAAGTGAGGACTGGTGGATTGGCTCAAGTGGTAGAGTACCTCCCTTATAAATATGAAACCCTGGGTGCAAACCCAGTCCCACAAAAATAAATAAATAAATAAATAAAGTACAAGTCAAGTACTACACAGCAACAGAAGACACTGAATGCCAACCAATTTACTGTATTTTCTTTATAGGCACAAAAGTTTCAGTATACAGTTTATTAGCAATAAAGCACTGGGAGAAGGGAGATGAGAAAGAGTACAGAAGAAAACTGTACAAAGGTATTAAGTTTGAAAGAGCAATAGATGTCACCACATTTAGCTGTATGTACCGTATAATGTGTGACCCACCAAGGCGCCTTCCTACATATTTTAAAGTTTTAACTGCAGGAAGATAAGTAAGTCAAAGCCCCAAAAGACTCTCCTAGGCTAATTATCCATGCAAGCTGAAAAGGGATGGGATAAGCTAACACAATGTCCAGGGAACAGGGCTCAGAGAAGAAATGCAACTAACTCAGTAGTGTAGAATGCCTTGAGAATCCAGCTATGAGATTCAGGGATAAGTCCCAACAGCAGCTTACAGTCAGGGCAAAGTTTTAGAGATTGGGCATGTGACAGAGATGGCTGATGAATCAAAGTAACTGAGCAAAAAGGTGCAGAACCCAGGGAAGGAGAAGTCATTAAACTGAGTATTTTTCCAAACAGGTCAAATTTGTAAATCCTACATGTTAGTTTGGGAGTTTGAGGGGGCAATACAGATAGGGGAGTTTTCCACAGATATTCAAAGGCACTCTGGGTTTTTTTTGTATTTTGGTGGTACTAGGTTTTGAACTCAGGGCCTTGCACTTGCTAAGCAGGCATTCTATCATTTGAGCCACACTACCAGACAATATGAATCTATCTTAATGACATAGCACCCACAACAAAAAGATGTGAACTGACATAACTATATACAAAAGCAGATAGGTTTAAAATAAAAAGTCCACATTTGCATTTAACAAGTACTTAAATGAAGGCCTATCATACTGAAAATAGCTCAGAACTGATGCAACTCATGTCTGCCTGGTAAGGAAAGAAAAGTTCTCAACAGTAGAATAAGCAATTTAAATACTACTAGAAGGACTTTAACAAATGAAATTCCAGGGAATTATATGAATGAATAAAACAATTAGCTTAAAAGTAAATGATCAACAAATAAAAGTCAATTCTATTTCTAGTTGGCAATGAATAATCTAAAACTGAAATTAAGAAAACAATTCTATGGACACCTCTGATGGTAGTTAGGATATTCACAGCATTCTCGCCGTGCTGACTAACCAAGTGTATATGAAGTTATGGCAACATCATCCTCCTAAGTATGTGCTATTTGCATTAAATGATATTTTCAACCTCAAAAGAAAAGAAAACAATTCTAAGGCTGACAGAGTGGCTCAAGTGGTACAGTACCTGTCTAGCAAGTGTGAGGCTCTGAGTTCAAATCCCAGCACCATCAAAAAAAAAGAAAAAAAAAGCAATTCTACTCTAATAATATCAAAATGAGTAAAATACACTTAACAAAAGGTAAAACTTTTATGCTAAAAACTACAAAACACTGCCAAAAACCAAATAAAGGGAAAGACAACCATGTTCACAGTTTGGAAGAGTTAATACTGTTTAAAATGACAATAGTCTCAAATTAATCTACAGATCAATGCCTCACCTAGCAAAATTCCAACAGTCTTTTACACAAAACATATGTATTAATTTGAAAATGCATATGGACACCTAAGGAACCCAGAATAACCAAAACAATCTTAGATAAGAACAAACTTAAGAGCTGAGGCAAAAGCTCAAATGGGTCAGGCAAGCACAAGGCTCTGGATTCAAACCCAAATACTGCAAAACAGAACTTAAGACAGCTCATAGTTAAC